GTATCCTTGTTGAGTTGGATGTTACGAAAAAATTTGCTGATAAGGTTTGGGTTGGTTCAGCTGAATCGGGATATGTTCAGAATGTGATTTTTGATGAGATTCCTCATTTCTGTGGGCATTGTAGTTCTTTAGGTCATTCTAAGGTTCTATGTCCTATATTGCATCCTTCTGTTAAAAATATGAAAACTGTGGATGCCCAGCTTGGGATGCCGGAGTCGATTGACCCTGGTGAAGTGAATTTGGATATATCTGGTGAGATTAACGCGGGTTTAGATGCTGATGTAAATAAGGTGGTGGCTGTCAATTCGGTGGCTGCTGAAACTATTTTGTCTCCTACTGCGGTTCCTTTTATTCCGGGGTGTGGGGTTGTTGGTATTGATCATTCGGATGTGGTGGAGGCTTTGCCGGATGTTGTGGTGGTGCCGGATGGTAATGAATTGGTGGTTTCAAATTCTACTTTTCCTACGCATGTTCCTGTAATCTGTGGAGGTGATGTGGTTGTTGGTGTGGAGGACTCTGATCGATTGCAGAAATGTGTTTTGAATGTGGACGCTAAGTTGGATGGTCAGGGAGTTGTTTCGGATAAGCAGGAATTAGTGATTAATTCGCAATGTCTGGTTACTGTCCCTGTTAAACTATCGGGTGAAAACATTTTGGTTGAATAATTCGTCTGAATTCGATTCTGACTCTGAATCTTATTCAGATTTTGGCGAGGAGTTTAAATTGGTCCGTGAAAAAACGCTTAAAGTTGCTTCTCGGGGCAAATTATGGAATAGAGGTGGTAGAAGAAGATAATTTCTTTTTCTATTTGGATCAATTTTTGTGGTTGTTCGGTTTGCTTGGCGCTTGGATTGGAGTTTGCGGAGCGATGATGTGGCTGGGACTCCTCGCCTCATCGGCTGTCTTGCGGCAACCGTTGGTGTTCTTCACTCTTCTGGATGGTCCTTGCACGGAGTTGAGCTGCTGGGAGTCCCGGCTATATGCTGAGCTCTCCTTTTTGGAATTAATTTCCTTGTTTTTTTTTATTATATGTGTTGGAGTTTGTAGTTTCTTTTTGGGCCTTTCTCTTTTTGTGAGTAGTCCTTTATTTGGTGTATCTCTTTTTATTATCAATATAAAAATATGAGTTTGAGGAAAAAAAAAAAAAGTAACAATAAAATGTTGGAAGTATAATTTTAGAAGCATTATTAGTACAAAATGTGAAAATATCAATTAAAAAGAGTATCAATGAAATACATTCCTTTTGTGAAGTTATCAATTCGCTCTATTAAAATAATATATCCATTAAACATCATAAAAATGCAAAATTATAACTGAAGGAATATAATTACATGTAAAAAATGATTTACATTTAGATAAATAAGTATCTAATTAAACTAATTACTAACCACAGTTATAATTAACTAAGTAATATATAAGTAACAATTTTATATCTTTTAAATAGTTAATAGAGATTTGAGAGTAATTTTAATTGTCTTATTAAAAATAATTGATAGTAATATAACAAAAAATTTTACCTAATTTTTTAATACAGAAGAGTATAGATTCAATCGGACCAATCAAATTGAAATCTTGAGCGAGCTAAGGAAAAATATGTGAGAATAGTTTAAGTAAATTTATTTGATGGAGAGGGAAACAAGTTTGACAGAAATCTTATGGAGAATAGAACCGTTTCTTGGAGTTTGATGGATATTCCGAACGGTTTCACGATTGTCATCATCTTAAAGAAAATGGAATGTTGATAGCCTAAATTTTAACTAAACAATTTAATATTAAGGAAGTGCTTAAAAGAAGATCAATAAATACGTCGTAGAGGAAAGAAAGCTTACTGAGAAGTTGAACAAGATAACCAACAGAGCTATGATTACTGTATAATCATAGACCCATTGAAAGATGAAGGCAAGCATAATTGTTATAGTAGAAGTTGAAGAGGCCTATAATTGAAAAAGAAACATACCAGAGAAGGCGACAAAGAGAATGAAGAATGTATAGGGCAAACTGAAGAGTTCGAATAGGAAATGAGGGAAATCACGATTACTTATAGGAAATGTACATCGAAATCCCTTGCGAATAGGAAATGGTGGTTAAGAGGCTATTAATTAGGATAAATCAAAATTAGTTACTATGCAATTAAGTTTAAGTGAGGCGAATTGTGAATCTTAAATCGGGGAAACCACAAATAATAAATTGGTAAGTATTTATTATTTATATTTACATTTATTAATTAATTGTAATAATATTAAATGAATATAATCAAGTGTCAGAATTATATTTGAAGAAATAAAATAAAAAATACGAATTTATATGAGAGAAAATTCAAGTATTTTTTATAATAGTAGTATATGTTTGATTATCTTCCTCTTAATTTCTCCACCAAAAAAAGAAAAAAAACTAGATTAGGTCAGCGGTGAGATCGAGTCAGAAAATGACACGTGTACGGATCCCGGAGGTCGGCGTTCCGGGCGAAAGAATGAAGTTGCCGCAGACTTCTGGTGTATGCTCATGATATAACGAAAGGGAGGAGGCCTTCGTGCTGGTTTCTCCGGTACTAAAACTTCTAATTCCTCTCTCTCTCTCTCTATTAACCGTTCATCGTTTTCCGAATACAAGGAAGCCTAATGGCGTCGGATTCACTCGATGAGCTGCGGTCGCTGATGAAATCTCACTCACCTCCTCTAGATGCTCTTGTCGTCCCATCGGAGGACAATCATCAGGTTTTCTAGGATTTATAGTTTCAATCGATTATCTTTGGATTAATTTTTCCGATCATAATATTAATGGAATTCTTTGGTTTATTTGATGCACCAGAGTGAGTATGTATCCGATAGGGATAAGAGGCGCGAATTTATCTCTGGATTTACTGGGAGCGCTGGTAAGGATCTCTTCCTGCTCGTAATTCTGGGTTATTGATTTCTATTGAGATTCAGATGTTGAATCATTCGTGGTGAAAAGCTTTTGTTTCAGTCTTTTTGTGTTCCGCAGTTCCTCTGTTCATCATGCGACTTAATATATCACAAAAAATTGCCTTGACCGGGCAAGAATCTCGTGGTATATCCATGCAAGAACCGCCCAAAATTAAAATAAGAACCATCCAAGCTTTGATTTCAACAAACTTATAGTCAAATTAAACATCCCGAAGATAAACCCAATGACATCAAAATCAGTTGAATGCGAGCCCAAATCAAGGGTCTAAGACATATTTGAAGGGATCAAAGCATTAATTGGATTACCAAATGATCGTCGAATATGGCGTGCTTATTGTCGAATCAAGCGGCTCGACGAGAAGATTCCAACTAGCCCAAGCTCGTTCAATTCTGACATCATCAAGGAATTTAAATGCTCGATCAACGGTCTATGATCAAAGGGGTCGATATCAGCCATCCAATCTAACACTCGCATCTTGACCTTGATCTCCTCCATATTTACAAGCCATGACACTAAAAAAACTAGGCCTCCATTCTGTACATAAGGGGAGGAAGAGAAAGAGTGGGAAGAAATGAGAAAAAAGGAGAAAACTTGGAGCTCCCTTGCCGTCGACCACATTCGGATTTCGTCCTGACCACTGATTGTCACCGAACTTTTGTTCGTTCGCAGACCACCGCTGGATTTCTTCTCCACCGCCGACGTTTTTCTCCACCACCAATATTTTTCCCAACCACCACCGACGTTCTTCCTAAACATCGGTTCTTTTCAACCGTCAATTTTCTTCTTCACCGCCGACGTTCTTCTCGACCTCCGTTGGAGTTCCCTTCAACCACTATCAAAGTTCTTCATTGAAATTTTACACCAGGTCTGAAGATTGGTAAAGCTTTTCAATACATTGTATTCTCCCCGTCCTTAGATTTGAGGATGGATTGACTTTTGTAATCTATCCAAATTATAGTGGAATCATTTCAACTCGGCAAGACCCCGTGGTTTTTCCTTTTCCCAGGATTTTTCACGTAAAAATCATGGTGTTTTCCCTTTCATCTATTTGTGTGCTGAACTTTCGTGCATTGCTAAGACATATATTCTTCTTACTCTATTTGCCGCGAATTTCTCAGTCCACAACACGACTGTAGAATGTATATAGTTGAGAGTGATTTTGGCCTTCGGAAAAGTTAAGTTTAGGTATATCATTTGCTGAATTAATTTGATTTAAAATATTCTCTTTCAATGGGAACTGTGTTGATTGACTATTGCAAATGAGTATCAGGGGGTTGATAAATAATTATCTATTTGGTGTAGGATGGACACTCAAGGTTTTTTTCCGGAGTACATTTGTTAAGTTACAAGTACATGTGCATCGAAGCAATATAAATTTCACTGATCATGCAGTCATGGTCAAATCAGCGATTTTCTTTGTTTTGAGTTATCAATGCATTTCAAAAATGGAAAAAAATCCAGTTCAAAGTGGAGCCTGATCCTTTTTTTTTTTTTTGCATTTTTTATTTTCATTAAGATAACAATTTTGTTAATGGACTAGTAGTTAAAGCCTTGTCATTAAGGATTTGTATGCAACAACTGTTACTTGTGTTCAAATATAAGGTGGTTTGATCAAGTACTTTTCTATTTTAATTGGATTACATCAAGGATCAACCTTAAGCCCATATCTTTTTACTTTAGCCATGGATGTTCTCACTAGACATTTGCAAGAGATTTGTATCCTGGTGTATGCTTTTTGTTGATGTTATTCTTCTTGTTGATAAGACTAGAGAGGGAGGTCCAACCTAAGAGTCTTAAGGCTTTCATTTGAGTAGATCTAAAATTGAATATATGGAGTTTAGTTTTAGTAATAATAGATCTAGTGAGGGGATTGTGACTTTGGGTGATCAAACCATTAATAAGAGTACAAGTATTTGATATATTGTGTTTATTTTTCAGAGTGATGGTGAAATAGATGGGGATATTATTAGTAGAATTCAAGTTAAATGGTTGAAGTGGAGGAATGCATTGGACTTGTTGTGTGCAGGATGTTGTCCATTAAAAGAGAAACGTAATATATTAAATTAAGTGTTGTAGAGATGAGGATGCTCAGATGGATGAGTGGTTTTACTCTTAGAGATAGGATACGAAATGTGCATATATGTGAAAAGGTTGGAGCATAGTGGAAGATAAGATTAGAGAGAGCCACCTTGGATGGTTTGGTCACATAAAACGGTGACCTTCCAATGACCCGGTTAGGAAAGTAGATGTATTAGATTTGACTTATGTTAAGAAAGGTAGAGGTTGACCTTAAAAAACTTTCTTAAAAATATTAAAAATGACATTTCTTTATTAGATTTAAATGAGAATTTAATTCTTAACAAGACACAATAGAAAAAAATGATTCATATAACCAATCCTACATAATGGGATAAAGACTTGATGTTGTTATTGTTGTTGTTGTTGCTTGATTTTTTACACGTTTATATTAGAATTCTTAGGCCTAAGACATACTTCGTTAGATTTAGTATTTGCAATGATTTTAAGGGAAATTTTTACTTGTTTTATAAATATTGTTCTAAGGAATTTTAAAAAAACATAATAATTGGTATTTAATAAAATTTATATTTGTATGTGCAATTCCTTCTACTTTTAGGATTCCATTTCTTGATCAATTGAGAAATTGGAAGAGTTCTAGAATATATTATCTTCTTGTACAAGTGATAGGCTTGCTTTTTGGCAAATTCATTCCGATGTAGTAGTTTTAATCTTCTAACTTCATTATTGGTTTGAGTGTGATTGATTTTGATTAAATATGATACTGTCTAACTTTCAACAAGTGTATGAAGTTAAATAGTTTGCATGGTTCTTTTTATTTTGAACTTCTTGATGTTTTTTTAAGTTGAAGACCTAGATTTTCATCTGTGCTGATTTTTTTTGTTGTTGCATTTTTTATTTTCATTAAGGTAACAATTTTGTTAATGGACTAGTAGTTCAAATCTTGTGATTTTTTAGTGATTGTTGCTTGATTTTTTTGCATGTTTGCATTAGAATTCTTAGGCCTAAGACATCCTTCGTCAGATTTAGTATTTGTAAACCTTATAAATACCCTACAAATAAAATATTAAATTAAAAGAATAAAAGGCCAACACATGATGCTATGTTTAAATATGGGAAAAATGATCAAAATGATCCCTTAGCTATTTATGAAGGGCGAAAATGGTCTTCAACTATATTAAAGAACCTTTTTAGTCCCTCAAGTTCTTAAAAAGAAACCAAAATAGTTCCATAGTGGGACTGTTTTTGGTATATCTTTAAACGAGTTAAGGGGCCATTAAAAGAGAAGCATAATATTAAGTTAAATGTTGCAAAGGTGAGGATGCTCAGGTGGATGAGTGGCTTTACTCTTAGAGACAAAATGCAAAATGAGCATATACGTGAAAAGGTTGGAGTAGCTCTAGTGGAAGATAATATTAGAGAGAGTCGCCTTAGATGGTTTGGTTACATAAACCGATCGCCTTTTGATGATCCAATTAGGAAAGTAGATGTATTAGATTTGACTTATTTTAAAAAATGTAGAGTTAGACCTAAAAGGACTTGGTTAGAAAATATTAGAAATGATATTTCTTTATTAGATTTAAATGAAAATTTAACTTTTAATATGACACAATGGAGAAACATGATTCATGTAGCCAACCTCACATATATTTAATATAGCTGGGAACCATTTTGATCTTTCATAAAGAGTCAATGGACCATTTTGGTCTTTTATCCTCAAATATGAGTGCAAACTTGTAAGGGAATGACATTCTCAATACCAAGCTCAACTATTTATTACTGAACAATGCTGATTTATAGGCATTTGGATTATGTTACTTGGATTATATGTATACTTTTGACTCATTGACCGATTAATGGCCACAAAAACTTAGCTGTACTTTTCTCTTCTTGACTGACATGCGCATAAATGATTACCATTTAAGATAATCAACTATGAAATCACATCTTAAACATCAATATCTTTTTATTGAATACACCATTATAAAACAAAATTATTATAGGGCTTAACCCTTCACATAGGGGGATCCAATTGATTACATCAGCGAACTCAATGAGACGAGGGAATCTTCCCAATTAATAGTTTAACCACGATGGATGCTTAATGTGTTAATTGTTTGGCTCCTCCAATTATTGAAATTCCACATTTATTTGTACCCTTAAGCTTGAATAATAAGATGCTACCTTTTTTTTTTGCTCCAGGAATATTTTCTTCTCATATGGCAAAAGAGAGAAGGTTCTATTGATTATATGAAAGGTTTGAAATAAAATAAAATTATTCTTTTTACCCCATTTGTAATTGCAAGAATATTACTATTGAAGCAAGCACTTTGTAGTTGTTCTCTCACCTCATTAAGTCTAATAAAAATTTTGTTGAGATATGGCTTAAAGGGTTAGGAGCTAAAGTGTTAGTAGTTAACAACAACAAAAAGTTCACGAACTAGAAGATATCCAAGCAGATGAATTACATAAAAGGAAGATTTTTAGCATGAAGATGCTGATATGTTAGAAGTGTAGAATGAGATGACCATTTTACAATTGATTTGGAAGTTGGATATAGTCTAATAGCAAGAGATGGCGGTATATAATGCATTATTTGTGCCTAGAATCTCCCTAAAACCCTAATCAATATGTTGATAGTCCTTCTTGTTACTGAGGGACAATAGAGTATGATCAAACCCTCAAGATACTCCAATTAGCAACAAGAAGCACACAAAGTAGGCTCATGACCAATTTACAATGCTAGCACTAATCATGGTTGACCAAGTGAACATGCCATTTTGAGCTCCAATTAGCTAAGTACTTATCAAGTCATTGCAAACTTAATTTAAAGTACGCAAATTTATAATAAAGGCATTGATCCATGGGATCATATGGCCATGTTTGAGTTCATCTTAGCTCTCTATGTTGTCTCAGGCGCCATTCGGTGTAGAATTTTTCTAACGTCATTGGTGGGGTAACATTGTGGTGGTTTTCAAAATTGTTACATTGTGCCATTGAAGCTTTCACTGAATTTAAGAATCATATTGCAGCAAATTTTTCTATTTTTCATAAGCCCAAGAAATGCAGCCAAATATTATTTGTCCAATGCAAGCACAAAATGAGTTTGTAAGAGATTTTGTGGCTTGGTTCAATAATAGGCAATTGGAGGTATGGGATTCGATGAGAAGTTTGCAAAAATTGCCTTTGTTTAAGCCCTAAAGGATGGGGGATTCAAATTTTCTATGAGTAAGACCACCAAATATGATGGCCAACTTACTAGCACTAGAAGAGGATATGACTGTGGAGGACTTGAAGTGGATGCCTGAATGGCTCATAAGAACTTTTGAATTACTTACGCTTGATTTAAAGAAAATAAGGTAAAGGAAGTTTGATTTAGAAGATTTTCATTTGAAGAACACTTTAGATAGACCCCAAGCAGATCCATTCTCTCAACTTGAACAACAAAAAAGTATTCATGGTTGCCTCAACTTTTAGTTGCAATAAAAAATTGGGAATGTTGTAGGTGGCTCAATAAGATGAGTTTACCTCCTAACCAACGGAGTAGGGCAAATGTTGTCCCCATCACAACGACTACAAGCACAACATCGAAAGTTGTCGATCGTTGAGAGCTTTGGTTGAGCAACTCTTTAAAGACATCTTCAAGAATTCTGCACCAAGTAGAAGGGACTAGGGAAAGGGCAAACAAGGTTGATTTGACCATTGATTGTGGGAGTGGTTTGAGAATTGAATCATGTCAGGTATGGTCTGTCTGACCATTCACTTCGCAAAGAAGGCTTACAAGTAGAATTATCCTCACAATTTGGGCATGAGATCACAAAAGATTAGAAGATTGTGTTTATTGAAATTTTAACTATTTATTTTCTTGGTGAAGGTTGCCATTGATGTTGATTTTTTATATCACACTGCTGAGTTCAATGAAGACGTTGTTTGGAGTCCACTGATGAAGTAGGATTATCAATTAGATGCTTGATGATCAAGATCAAGAGACATCTAGATGTCTGTACTATTGGATCGAAATTCAAATTATAACACGATAAATACGAATTTTGAATTATTTTGGATAAAATAGTCCTATCATCGGACTATTTGGATTCTTTTTTTAAAGACTTGAGGGATCAAAATGATCTAATATAGTTGGAGATTATTTTAGTCCTTCATAAAAAGTCAAGGGACCATTTTTATTATGTTCTCTAATGATAAGATATTTACAGGAAAACATAATAACTTAAAAAGGCCCTAAGGCCCTAATTACGAAACTAACCTAATGTGAGATAAGCCTAAAAGAGAACTAAAAGAAAAAAAATAAAATAAAAGAATACCCCGTTTAATGTCATCTTTATGTTTGAAGATTGGTGTGTGCTACATGAGTGTATTATAGAACGTTGTACCCGTTTTCCTACCATAAATTGAAGGAATATCTAGCAAATAAGACACAACAAAACAAATTTCTCCTATAGCATGGTGTCAAAGTAGAATTTTTCTCAACCCTAGTCATCGCTTCCCCTGGACCTCTCTCCTCTCTTCTCTATTAGCCCACCCATGATTCCGATCATGACCACATACCTCTTTTGATCGCAATTGCACATCCCTCGACTAATCTCCTTAGATCACACTCAACTTTGCATCCCTGTAGCACCTGACGACAAGCAAGTAAATGAGCTTTTCCAAGATTTTGGATTTGATTCATGGTGTGGCCTAGTTTATCTAGTTTTGTCAAATATCAATATTTGTGCCAAAGTAAGTTTTCAAACCGTTATGATTACTGAAATTATTGACAATCGGTTGCTATTTAAAGAATAAACTCCAAGCCAATTGTAAAAAAGGATCATTTTTTCTGTCAATCATAATTGTATCATATTGTTGTTAGAATGAAAATTAACACCATTGATTTTGTCTTATCTTAGAAGAAATTGCTTGAAAAAAATCACATTACTTCATGACGTCTTAGTGCGGCTGTAAGCATAGAAACAAACGGTAAAATTGCAAGAAAATTATGTTTCTTGGGATATTTGGATATTCAAACCCTTTGATCTTATTTCAAATGAAAATCATGCATTCATATAAAGTATTATTTTAAGTAAATTATTGCATATGATATAAAATATTATATCATATTATCTTTGTCATTCAAAAACCATTTTCACGCATTATCTAGCCCATCCAAATGAAAATATTATCATGCATGATCAAATGCTAAAGAGCGGTAGAATCGAAAATATTTCAATTCCAAATCTTTGGGTCTACCTAAGTTATGTAGCGGAGAGAACAACAATCTTGATTTAGGTTTTAAGAGCTCAAATGTCAACATATATTGATTAAAAAATGGATGGGACAATTACATTTTTCTATAAGATTGACATATGACAACTCACTATTTGAATGAATATCATTTATTCCTTTGATAACAAGAAAAAGGGAGAACATTTTTGAAGTTATATGTTTAGTACTTTGCTACTGTATTATTAGTTTATCTATTTCCTTTTAAGACTTATATTATTTCAGGATTGGCTCTTATAACGATGAATGAGGCATTACTGTGGACTGATGGAAGGTACTTCTTGCAAGCAACACAACAGCTGAGTGATCGATGGAAACTCATGCGCATCGGGGAAGATCCTGCTGTGGAGAATTGGATAGTTGATGTAATGCCTTCTCTCTTTTCCTAAACTCTCTCTCTCTCTCTCTATATATATATATTTATAATTGTATGTTTATTCTTCATCCAAGTAGTTTTGTTAAACTTTGTTGAATATTCACCATTTCTTCTTGCTATAACGTGCACATTTGGTGTTAGCTCCAGTTTAGCTAAATGATTTGGAGTTGTGCTGGCAGTCTCCTTCGCTAGTCTTTTTTTCTGTTTGTTAGAGTTGCCAACCATCTGAATGGAATTCTCTCCCACCTTTTTTCCTCAATATGTTTTGCCCTCAAATTTTCTTTAACATAATCAACCCTCATTTCTTGTGTTACTTCAGATCCATCTTACATTTTCTTTTTTTCTACGTTGCTTGCTTGTTTTTGCCTCATAGAGCTGTAAACGAGTTGAGATAAGCTCGAGCACCTTTGGCTTGAGCTTGAGCTTGATCAAGTAATTGAATTCAAACTCAAGCTTGAGCTTAATTCTACAAGTTTGAGTTGGCTCACGGGTTGGCTCATTTATTATGAAAGAAAAAAAAAAGATTTTTGATTCAAGTATTTATTATAATAAAATGATAAAAATAATGAGAAATAATATGAAATCACTTAATATAAGGAAGTGAGATATAGTTTTAACATATTATAATAATTTAGGGCTTGAACTTTTGAATTCTAATTTAAGTATTTTTTTATATTAACAAATTTCAATGAGCTAACTCACGAGCTAATAGGTCGAGTTGGGCTATGGCTTAAGCTTGGCTCAGTTGTTCATCAAGTTTGGCTTACAAACTAGTTATCGAGTCAAGCTTAAGAGGGCTCAAGAGCTAGCTTGAATCAGACCCCTAGTGCCTCCTCTATTCCATTTCGGAAAGTAGTTTATGTCCCTTATTTTGTTAGTTTTATCCAAGTGTCAAATTATGGACCCCAGGCCTTTAAATACTTTCTCAGCTACCTTTTTTTTTGTAGAGTTTCCAATAGCATAAATGTTTTAGAAGTTGGTCGGTTTGGATTCCTTAAACTTCATCCTTTTTATGATTCACCTTTCTGGTCGACTTGTTTTGCTTCATTTTTGTGTGTTCTAATTTTATTATTTATGATGGAAAGCTGCTCAAACACTTGTTTATTACTTTCTGTCATAACAGAATCTTCAGAGCGATGCTGCTGTGGGAATTGATCCATGGTGTGTATCTGTAGATACGGCCCAAAGATGGACGCAAGCTTTCTCAAAAAGTAGGCAAAAACTAATACAACTTTCTGTAAACTTGGTTGATGAAGTTTGGAGAGACAGACCTGCAGCTGAAATTCGACCAGTAACTTTACAACCATTCAAATTTGCTGGCTGTACTGTAGCTGATAAGCTGAAAAATCTAAGGGAAAAGCTTGTTCAGGATAAGGCTTATGGAATTATAGTCACTGCACTTGACGAGGTATCTAATCCATCTGAACCTTTGTTTTGGGATAGTTTATGAATTCTTTTTATCGCTCTTATCTCATTCCTGATGTAATTGTGCTTTTTTCATTGTGGCTGCATGTTCTCGTCAATGTTAAAATATGGAGGTTGCTTGGCTTTATAATATTCGGGGAAATGATGTATCCTACAGTCCAGTTGTCCATGCATATGCTATTGTAACGACTGATTTGGCTTTATGCTATGTGGACAAGAGGAAGGTGTCTTCTGAGGTCAGTTTTCTCTGTGGGTTTTATTCATTATTTTGTGATTCATATGGATTGTTTTTAAATATGATTTAAAGATTCTTGCTCTTCAAGTTAAATCACTCACCAAGCAGATTTTTTTTTTTTACTCAATTCTATAGTTTTGGCACTGTTTGCATGAAATTGATAATCTTGTCACTTGGTTGCATGGAATTGAAGTTTATGAACATAAGGGTAGGCTGCATATGTGGAAGCTTAGTTCTTATCTATGACATTGAAATAATTTGGTACTAATAATTGACTCTTGGCACTAATTGTCTTTGAACATTGATATAGCAGATTATGCTCTTAGTCTTTCTCTTATTATGCATTGTAGCTGATCCTATGTTGATGGCTTTTATGTAATGGTGGTGATGAATTGAATGTGCACGCAAATCATGAAAATCTTGAATTTTGTTTTGCATTAACATACATTTGTATCTTATGATTCATTGAGAGAATTCACATACGCTACTGAAGGTTAATTATTATACTAAGCTTAAACATGATGCCTCTAATCTTTTGATAACATTAATTCCTGGAATTTCAATACCAACTCTTTGATTAAGTGTTCTTGACATTGATTCTGAACTATTTTATCACAAACCTTATGCTATTCCTAGATTTGTTTTTAATTTGTAAACCCCATCCATACCAAAATCATATATTTCAATCATGAGCTGTTGTACTGTTTGTGATGCAGGACTACATGCATGATTTAGAAACTTGCACAAAATATTTAAAGATCAATTTCAGATTTCATTATTAGTGATTAAAACCACAAAATAAAACTAATAAACGGTCACTTTCGCTTAGGCCAAACTACACAAAATGCTAAACTGAATCAAAACACGTAGGAAAATTAAAGTAATGCAAGTAGGATAGTACTCAACATAATCCTTGTTTAACAACGAGATCCAAAAGCCAAGAAATAGCAATTCCTATGGATACTAGTGGATGGCAATAAGTAGACACAATCTCTTGCTTTGAACAACTTCTCTCAAGGAAATTAGAATTTGAAAGTAAATGGATCAAGGAAGAAAATTACCCTCTCGGAGAAGCGTCGAAATTCACCACGAACCTTCCACTAATTATTCCTTCCACGGCAATTATGGAATGACGGAAATTTTAGAGATCCGTCCAAGCTTGAATCATGCCGACGAAAGAAATTAGGAAAGATCCACGCCACCTTGTAATTTAATTAAATTGGAGTTTAATTTGAGTCGATTTTGTCTCGACGTCGATCGATTGAGTCGATCGAGCCTAGTCGGGCTCGATCGGGGTCGAGTCGGTGCGAAAATATTCGTCAACAATACTAAAATCATATATTTCAATCCTGAGCTGTTGTACTGTTTGTGGTTAAGATGGCCATGGGAATGGCTATGTTTATTTTGTTTTAGAACATTAAAAAGGAAAGTGAAAGTGGTGTCTGTAAGTTCTATGTTGATTTTATTTTAGTTTCAAGGATTTTATGAGCTCTTTCTGTTCTTTTCAACTAATAGTCATGCTTGAAAAGGGATGCCTTTGTTCCGTCTGTCTTTAAAATTTATGAATGTGCCAAATTATTATTATTTATGTATATTATTGGATGCAGGTGCATAGTTCTTTGTCTGAAAATGATATAGAAGTTCGTGAATACAACACTGTTTCTTCTGATGTGAGCTTGTTGGCATCTGGGAAACTAATTAGTTCGTTTGCTGCTAAAGCTTCTGAAGAAAATGGAGAAAATGTTGTTAACGCAGGACACATTGAAGATGGGTCTCAGGAAAAAAAACTAATATGGATTGACCCAGCTTCATGCTGCCTTGCTTTGTACTCAAATTTGAATTCAGATCAAGTTCTTATGCAGCAATCACCATTGGCCCTGGCAAAAGCTATTAAGGTGTGTTTGACATAATTGCAGTTTTAGAAAAGTAAATTATGTGAGCATTGATCAACCATTGACTTGGGCTTACTACTAGAAACGTCATACTTTTTAATAAAAAGTATTAAACCCATTGCATAATATTATATTCTGTCGAAATCTCAGTCATCCTTTGGCATTTGATTCCATGGTCAGGATGAGAATCCGTGGGAGGCTCACCTGGATCACGCCAATATCCTTCTATATTTGGGGTAGCTGAATTAGGAAGGATTATATTGAGGCAATTATGTATCAATTAGAAGTTATTTATTTCTTTATTAAGACATCTTGTATAGATCTATAAGTAGGGATAATTTTGTATAATAAGTAGAAGGTATTTTTTACCATTCTCAAATTCTATGAATTCTAACATGGTATCAGAGCCAAAGAAAATCGGGCGGCCTTCATTGCTGAATGTTCCAAGCTTCTGACGCTGCAAGAAGCCGCCGACCCTTCAAGACGACAGCGCAACCATGGACGAAACCCTCGATCCTGCCAGTCGCTGCCGCAGATGGAAGCTCCGATTCCGCTAAACATCGGCGTCGATAGCAGGGTCCGAACGTGCGCGAGCGTAGACGAACAACACGAAAGGAGCCGAAGAAGCGCCTCCTGTGAAGCACCCGAAGCCGAACTAGAGAGACGTTGAAGGAGGATAGTCGAACAACCACAAACGAGCCGAAGGAGCGAAACTTCCGATCCGAAAGGAAGGGAAAGTTGTCAAAGGAGTGTAGTCGAACAACCACGAAGGAGCCAAAGAAGTGACGCATCTCCTGCAAAGCAACAAAGCCGTTGCCATCCTGATCGACGCCATCGGTCATCTTCCGGCATTGCGCGACGGAAACCCCTTTGCCGAGACCGCGCATCACGCGCGCGAGCTCCTCTGCCGATAACTATCTGGTGCGACCAAGATCGAAGACAGAGAAAGGTGGTGGAGATCCTCGAGCCCTGTTATGGAATCGACCTTGCTAGTATTCAGATCCACAAACTCCTCAAGATTGATGAAGCCATCACCTTTTGCATTGACCTCGCTCATCATTTGAGCGAGTTCCACAGCTAACGCCATGTGCCCTAGGCTATCGAAGATGACACCTAACTCCGATGACGAGATCTTTCCATCGTCGTTAGAGTCAAATTTATGAAAAATGAGTTCGAGCTCCTCTTGTGTCACCACTATAACAGCTTCCAGTGAAGTTGGCTCTGAAGCCTCTCCACTGGATGGGGTGGCCTTTGATTTTTCTTAAACAGGCTTCTGCTTGCGTAACTACCTGGTCTGAGTCTTAAAAGACCAGCCGATTATTTCAACAACAACAAAAAGGAGAGAATCATCGGCCTTTATTGTTGATATAACCAAATCAGCCTTTATTGCTGACATAATCAAATCAGCCTTTATTGTTGGTATAATAAAATCAACCTTTATTGTTGATATAATCAAATCAGCCTTTATTGTTGTTATAACACCACAATGTCTGAAGAAAATTCAGCCTTGAGCTTTTATCAAATAGAAGAACCTATGATACACCAAGAACGGGGTGACCTCCAAAGCATGCAACATTCCTATCGCCTAAACGGGAAGAACTATCTAAAGTGATCTCAATTTGGGAAGACCTACTTAAAAGGGAAAGGGAAATTACACCACTACCGACCTTCATTGTTGGACTTCTGAGGAATACAAAGTTCCCATCACCGACCTTCACTACTGGAATTCTGAGGAATATAAGTTCTCAAGTTCTCACAACCGGCCTTCATTGCGAAAATTCTAAGGAATACTGGTCTTTCAACCCGCCTTCATTGCCGGCTTTCTCTTGTGGTTGCAATCCTATCTATAACCAATGCAGCCTTCATTGCTAGTCTGCTTGATAAAGCCTTCATCACTATCATTTGCCGCTGTCACAATGTCTGAAGTTGATTCCTCCCAAAGTTTTGACCAAATAGAGGACTATATGGTGTACTAAGGGACTTGTTAGTTCTACCTCTGAGCGAGTAATTCCAAGCTGGTCTCCAGCTTGAGGGGGAGTGTTAAAATCTAAGTCATCCCTTGGCATTTGATCCCACGGTCAGTATGAGAATCCGTGGGAGGCTCACTTGGATCACGCCAATATCCTTCTATATTTGGGTAACTGAATTAGGAAGGATTATATTGAGGCAATTATGTATCAATTAGAAGTTATTTATTTCTTTATTAAGACATCTTGTATAGATCTATAAATAGGAATAATTTTGTATAATAAATAGAAGGTATTTTTTACCCTTCTCAAATTCTATGAATTCTAACATATTCAATAGTGTGTAGAGTAAAGCTAGTCAGAATTCATAAACTGAAGGAAATTAATAATTCTTTTTTCACACCTTATACAATTAGCGTTGAAAACATGAAATTCATTGGATTATTTTGCTCTGAATGCAATTATATGAACTTGAATGATTGGTTGGTTGGGCCAATAATTCCTCAGCTTAGCCTGATACTGGCACAATACTTGGTCAGAGAAGCATATTAATTACACTATTGCCTTAGATGAAAGATCTTTGATTTGTTTGAAATCTCCAACCAATCTTTTTATCGTTTATTAACAGGGAAAATGGCATTTTTGCTGAATTGAACATATTTCTTCTCTCAATTGTGTGATAATTTTTTTTCTTATTAATGGGCAAGTTGATAAAAATAAATATTCTCCATTCATTCATTTTTTTTAATTCTAATCTAACTCGTTATGTCAAATTGAAATCGTTCAAATTTGCAATTATTTTTCTTTAGTCTGATTGTTTTATTAAAGAAATGATATTTTCTTTGTGGAAAGGCTTTCATAGTGTTAGTAATAGTGTTAAATGCTTGGGAACTAAATTCACGGTGTTGAGAAGAAGGCTTAATTTTTTAAAATGAAATATTCATAATTTTCTAGGGCAAAAAAGCAGATTATTTTAATTAAAATTGATAGCATTGAATGCAACACTGAAATGTGGTATTGGTTCCCCATTAGAGCTTGAATGTCATGATCATTATAAATTTTAGCTTTACGAGAAGTTGATAGAGTAATAAACTTATTGGCATCCAAGGTCAAAGGTTAAATGGCTTTTGGATGGTGATCATAACGCTATATACTTTCATAAATATGTTAGTTGGAGAAGAAAATTGAATTTTATTCACAATATTTTTTTGGTTGATTATGTTCAATCAGACATTGTTTGAGCTTTCTTCTCTTACTACTATAATTTTCTTAGAAATAGAGGTTTGGAGTCATCTTATGGTGGAAAGTTGGAAGCTTTATGCTTGTGATGACCCCCTTTCTTCGTTGTCTATATTAGCCTTTTTCTAAGAAGAAATTTTGAAGTGAGATCTTTTCACTTGGTGCTTCCTAAGTTTTTGGGCCAGATGACATTTTTTTCTGTTATATTTTTGAGAGATGTGTGATTTTATTCATCCTGATCTTTTTAGCTATGTTTGTGATAGGAAATACTTGAGTTCGCAAGTAACCCTAATGGAAAATAAATGAGTTCGCAAGCAAACCTAACAATAATCGGTAAAACAACAAGAAAAATAGAAGAACTTTGGTGGAAACAATAAAAAATAGTAGATAATCTTATAAAAATCAAAACGAAGCAAGAACGAAACAAAGATACAATTGATCCTCAATTTTAGAGAAGGATCATTCTCTCTCAATTTCTAGACCAGAAGTCTAGAGCCCAAAACACCAAAGAGAACTCCAAGAGAAACACTAATCATGCATGAAAACCTAACCCTAATTCCTTCATCCTACTTAAAGCATACAATTAATTAATTAAGCCAAATTACTCCCTTGCTTTTGCTGCCCCCTCCTTTGCCTTCAAATAATTTGAATTTGAATTCCTAGTGGGGCCCACTCCTCCCTGTCTCTCCTTGGGCTTACCGCCGGTTGGGGTTGGACCGGTCCACTAGGGACTGGTCTAACATTACCGCCCTCCCAAAGAATCATTGTAATATCAAAATCTGCTCCAGGATCGTCCAGGACGACTGGGATCGTCCTGGGACGATCAGTTGAGAATTTGCTCCAGAATTTGCCCAGATTTGCTCCAGGTGTTTTTCTGTAGGCATCGTCCAGGCCGATCGAGGCATCGTCCAGGACCGGCCGGAAAATAGTTCTGGGAACCGTCCAGGACGATCAAAATTGGTCTGATCGTTCTTTTGAATGTAGTTTTTCAGATTGAATTTGATGTTATTATTCTTTTCGTTCTTGGTATAAGATGATGCATGGAAGCAATGTAATGAATTGTTGTAAGGGAATTGAAAATCCTAGCTATGAATAAAACAGAAGTAATCATGCTTGTTGATTGTCTTCAAATTTTTAATTGGCAGTCTTGGCTAGATGATCCGTTTGCTGAGGCTTACTGGC